CTGCGAATGATGAGGCTGGATGGTACCACTTTTTAAATCGTAATAGCAGTATATATACTTTTATTGCCAAAACTTTAGAAATGACAAAAATGCAAAAGAACAAAAAAGTCATCCACAGTCCACAATCTCCCAAAAACCATTCTTGACCATTTTGAGAATGTCCCTTCTAGATTTCGTTTGGAGGTGTCCGTGCGTATCCTTGTACAAAGAAAGGACCGGACTGATGCACCCTTTGTAACCTGCTGTTCTTCGTTTACAATTACGAACACCTTTCTGTATATATATATATATATATATATATATATATCATCACTTAAAATTTTTATGCGATAAAATACACAAAACATAAAATTTACCATCTTAACCACTTTCAAGTGAACAACTTGGTGGCATCGAGAACATTCCCGTTGTGCACCTGCGCCCCGCCCCCCATGTCCAGAACTCTTTGTCCTGTAAAACCGAAACTCTGTGACTCCACTATTATTGCCAGTTTCCAGATGAGGAAACTAAGGTTCAGAGTGACCAAGAGACTTCAACATTCGACAAGTATTCATGAAGCGCCTACTTTGTGGCAAGCACGCTTTCAAAGTTGGGGGGTGCGGCCAACTTGCCCAAGCTCAGACAGCTTGTAGGAGTCAGCTGGGTGGAGTCAGAGTCCGCTCCCCCTGGCCGACTCCAGGGCCCGATTTCTTAAGTGAAAAGCTTGAAGGCACAGTGATCTTTTTGAGGGTCTACCCTTTTTCAACCAGACCCTGAGGGTGGTGCCTGGGAGACTGGGCACAGAGAATGCGGTCAGAGAGTATGTTGTCCCTGCAGTTCTCACTGACACTGGGGAGCCCTGCCACTTCCCTTTCCTGTACCACCATCAGCTGTACCACAAGTGCACTAGCAGAGGCCGACCTGGCCTGCGGCCCTGGTAAGGTGACCCAGAGGGGCCTGGAGCCTGGGCCTGGGGAGATGGACTCCGCCCACCCTTCTACCTAAGGAACCCTGCTTGGAGAGAGGAGGTTGTGATGGGGAAGGGTGGGCCAGCCCCTCGGGCGAGCAGGGAGCCCCCTCTCTTTCTCCAGGTGTGCTACCACCCCCAACTTCGAGCGGGACCAACGATGGGCGTACTGCCTGGAGCCCAAGAAAGTGCAAGGTGCCACACCCAGCCTCTGGGGGGGCTCAAGGTCCTTTCTTCCCCCTTGGGTGCTCTCCTGGGCTTCATCGGACCCTACACACCTGGGGTTCTGGGCCCACTTAGCCCCTTCCTCGCTCCGGAGGGAGAATTTCGGGATGGGAAGCCCCATTTTGCATATGGATAAACTAAGGCCTGGGGACAAGGCAAAAAGACAAGACAAGGAGATTCGGGTGTAGCCGTGGCTCCCACATGCGGGGCTGAGGTCCCCCCTGCCCAGCACGGTGTCCCTCTCTCAGGGGCCTGCAGCAAGCACAACCCCTGCCAGAGGGGAGGGACCTGTGTGGACACGGGGAGAGGCCCACACTGCTTCTGTCCCGATGGCTTCACCGGGAAGCACTGCCAAAGAGGTAAGGAGGGGATGCGGTGGGGGTGTGGGGGGCTGGGGCACGGGGACAGCCCCCACCTACTGAGGTCATCCCAGGACCCTCAGAGACCTGGCTCCGTCCCAGCCTCTCCTGAGACCATCGCCTCACTTTTGTTCCCAGAGAAGTGCTTTGAGCCTCAGCTGTCCCAGTTCTTCCATCAGGATGAAGTATGGCACAGGCTGGAGCCGGCGGGCGTGGCCAGGTGTCACTGCCAGGGTCCCCAAGCCCACTGCAAGCCGCTGGCCAGCCAGGGTGAGTGGATCGGTTGGAAACTGACCAGGAGGAGAACCGAAGGTCACAGGTCGGGAGAAGGGAGGAAAAGCTGGCCAGGCGGGTATGCCTAGGGAAGGGCAAGGACGCTCTGTGGGGTCTTTGGGCCCGGAGGGGGCTCAGCGCGCTTCTTCTCACAGTTTGCCGCAGCAACCCATGCCTCCACGGGGGCCGCTGTCTGGAGGCGGAGGGACACCACCTGTGCAGTTGTCCCAAGGGCTACGGAGGACGCATATGCGACGTGGGTGAGTCCTGGTCTAGTGGGAGGCAGAAGCCCCACCCCCAATGGGGAGGGCTCACAGAAAGGCACTAGAGAGAGTGAGGGGGGTGGCTGAGAGCCGGGCGGGAGACTACACCACCTGCTGGCTGCAGGAAGCCTCCTCTCTCCCCAGACCTTGAGGCTAGCTGCTACCAAGGCAGGGGGACCAGCTATCGTGGCACCGCTGGGACCACGGTCTCCAACGCGCAGTGTCAGCCATGGACCTCGGAGGCCACCTACCGGAACCTGACTGCAGAACAAGCACTGAACTGGGGACTGGGCGACCACGCCTTGTGCCGGTGCGCTGGGTGGGACAGGGCACAGTGTCCCCCTCCTCCTCGGGACCCCCTGGCGCCCCCCTCGCTCTACCAGTGTGCTCCCCGGTGGTTGCAGGAACCCGGACAATGATACCCGCCCGTGGTGTTTCGTGCGGAGAGGCGGCCGGCAGGGCTGGGAATATTGCAGCGTACCGCGGTGCCCAGCCCCAGTCTCTGCAAAGCCCCAGTTCCGGCCTCCGCCCCAACCCCGCCTTGAGTCCCCGGGCCTCCCCCTGCCCTCGCTTGCACCAGATCAGGAGTCTCAGCTCGGGACCCCAGGTAATTGGGAAGGGGGCAGGAAGACCAAGCAGAGGGGGCGCGGGCGAGCTGTGTGTCAGTCACTCGTGGGTTTCCCTGGCCTCAGCCCGAGCTCCTCCACAGCCTCGCGCGCGCTCGGGACGGAATCGGCGGGCTGCGGACAGCGGCTCCGGAAACGGCTGACCTCACTGAGCCGCGTCGTCGGGGGACTGGTGGCGCTTCCCGGCGCGCACCCTTACATCGCCGCGCTGTACTGGGGCCACAATTTCTGCGCCGGCAGCCTCATCGCTTCCTGCTGGGTGCTGACCGCGGCTCACTGCCTGCAGAACCGGCTAGTACCGCCTGCCCAGCGCCAGCTCGGGGCTCGGCTCCCTTTCACTGGGCCTAGCTTCCGCGGGGACACGCGAGCCCGTGCCCTGTTCTCCCTGCTTTCCCCTCCAGAGTTCCCCTGGAGGAAGCTGAAATCCAGGCTGCGGCTTGGGAACGGGGGTCCTCCAGGCTGCCGGTGGCCGACTCTGAGTGCGCATCCTCTCCCCACCACGCCCGCAGGCCGGCGCTGGAGGAGATGACTGTGGTGCTGGGCCAGGACCGCCATAACCAGAGCTGCGAGCAGTGCCAGACGCTGGCCGTGCGCAGCTACCACGTGCACGAAGCCTTCTCGCCCATCACCTATCAGCACGACCTGGGTGCGTAGGGGCGCCCCTCGGGGGGCCTTGTGAAGAGGTCTCGGAGGCCGGAGCGAGAGGCCTCACGCTCCTCTCCTCTCGGGTTAGCGTTGCTGCGCCTGCAGGAGAGCTCGGACGGTCGCTGCGCGCTCTCGTCGTCTACCGTGGGGCCCGTTTGCCTGCCGAGCAGCGCCGCCAGCCCTGCGGAACCCGAGGCTATGCTCTGCGAAGTAGCCGGCTGGGGCCACCAATTCGAGGGTAGGCAGAACCGCTGGAGCGGGAGGGAGACCTCTGGCCCCCGGGGTAAGCAAGAAAAGCCGGCCGCTTGGATATCACCAGGGACAGGAGGCGCTGACCTGGTGGGTTGTGAGGACGTGCAGAGAGCCCTTGTTACTGCAGCCGTCTGGGATTTACCGTTGGGGGCCCCCGAGCGAATGAGGGTCACAGGGTCACACTTTCTCTTGGTTCCCACTGGGCGCAGGGCTGCAAGGCTAAGTAGGACACTGCCCTGCGCTCCAGGGCTTCCGAAGCAGGGCTGCTCGCCCCGCCCACTCACACCCCCTAGTTGTCTCCTGCCTCAGTTTTCCAGTCCAGGAAATGGTAACCCACCAGCAGCTCTCTCCCTCATGGGCTTGCTACGAGGGCAGCTGGTGACCAGTGGGTCAGGTCCCCTGACCAGGAGGGGAGTGGAGGCGGCGAGGTGTGAGGGAAATGTTCTCGGCTCGCAGGGGCGGAGGAATACGCCAGCTTTCTGCAGGAGGCGCAGGTACCGCTGATCTCTGCGGAGCGCTGCTCCTCCCCCAGCATGCACGGTGCCGCCTTCGCCCCCGGGATGCTCTGCGCTGGCTTCCCCGAGGGCGGCGTGGACGCCTGCCAGGTGAGCCCTCCGGCTGCTTTGTGCCCTGCCCCCACCCCGACAAACGCAGGCCCCAAGCCAAGGGCACTGAGCCTTGTGTCCTCGACCCAGGGTGACTCTGGGGGTCCGCTGGTGTGTGAGGAGAAGGCTGCAGAGAACCAGCTCATCCTGCGAGGCATCGTCAGCTGGGGCTCAGGTTGTGGCGACCGCAACAAGCCGGGGGTATACACCGATGTGGCCAGCTACCTGACCTGGATCCGGGAGCACACCGCTTCCTGACCGCCTGCCCGGGTGCGCGTCCCTCCCTCCTCGGCGATTCTGGAATGGGGGGACTGCTGGACCCGGCCCTGGACGGCGAGGACTGTGCTGCAGCCCCGCCAGCCCAGCGCCAGGCGTGGTGTCAACAGTCAATAAAGTGCTTTTGGCAGTGCTCGAGAGGCCAGCTCCCTCCACAGCCCCCGGAGAGCAGGGTCTCCTGGGATCTTACGCAAGGTTTAGATTCCTGCCCAGCTGACGTTTTACCGAGCCGGGTGTCCCTGGCCCTGTGCACATGTTATTTCTCGGATGAAACATTAGTACTTTCCGTTTGCAGAGAAATTCTCAACCTCGACTGTACATCTGAATCATCTGGAGAGCTGTTTGAACCTATGTCCACGATCCACCTCAGACCGATTAAATAAATCAGCACACGGATCTAGGAATGGGGCAGGGGCGTGTTTTAAAAACTCTCCAGGTGATGATGACACGTGCGGCTGGGGTTGAGAACCATGGTTAGAAATGCTTAACCTTCTAATGGTGGTGTGGACCCTCGGGACCGGCAGCTGACAGGGAAGTCCCTCACTCCCACCCAACCCACGCCAGGGAGTGGGTCTCAAAATGTGGTCTTTGCACCAGCAGCAAGGGTGTCGCCAGGGAACTTGCTAGAAAGGCCTCTCCGCAGGGTGCACGACTGACTGCGGAACCGGAAACTCGGAGCTGGGGCCCAGCAACCCGACAGCTTTCCAGGCAGTTCTGATGCTCCTAACATTTGGGGACCATGTTTGGGGACCAGGCACAAACAAGAGGTGGCATCTTGTTTGTTTCTGTGTTTTCACACTCGTGTGCACTGTACTTGTGGCCACCTGTGTTGGTTTTCAAGAATTATTTTGACTCGCAGGCGATCCCCTTCCGCAGACAAGGTGAACTTCACCGGGTGTGAGCTACAACCCCGCCCTCACCCCGCAGCAGGAGGTAGCTGCTCTGTGACGTCACAGCCCCGCCCCCACGCCCGCGACAGTGCCCCAGGCGTTTTAGGCCGGCTCAGCCCTCCAAAGCACTAGGCGCCTGGCACACCTGGAGCCCTAATGGGTGAATGGAAAGGCTACATCAGCGCGGTGCTGCACGACCAGCGCATCGACGATGTGGCCATCGTGGGCCACTCAGACAATCGCTGCGTGTGGGCCTCGCGGCCCGGGGGCCTGCTGGCAGCCATCTCCCCGCAGGAGGTGGGCGTGCTCACCGGGCCTGACCGTAGCACCTTTCTGCAGGCGGGCCTGAGCGTGGCGGGCCGCGGCTGCTGCGTCATCCGAGACCACCTGCTGGCAGAGGGCGATGGCGTGCTGGACGCGCGCACCAAGGGGCTGGATGGGCGCGCCCTCTGCGTGGGCCACATGCCGCGCATGCTCCTCGTGCTCATGGGCCGACGGGGTGTGCACGGGGGCATCCTCAACAAGACGGCACACGACCTGATCAAGTGGCTGCGCACTCAGAGCACCTAGTAGGGCAGCCACGTTGGCAGTGAAGCCACAATAAAGGCAGACCTGGACTCGGCCCACATCCTCCCCTTGTGTGGGGAAGGGGGCGGGCTGTGAGGGGGACACCAGCTTCCCGGGAGGTGCTTGCAGAAGGTTTACCTGGTAGGGTTGGGGTCTTGGGTCCAGAGGCTTCACAGCCTCTCAAGCCCTAGACCTGGCCCTCCCAGGGGGGCCCTGCAGAGGCCCCTGACCTACTCCCCAGGCCAGAGTCAGGGGTGGGGACCTTGAAGTCTTCCCAGGGTCCTAGGGACACTGCATCTGACTCAGGAGCAGCCTTCTCAAACCCTCTAGCTCAGAGACGAACATCCTTTCCCAGGAAAATTTCCCCACGTGCTCTGGATGGATGGAATGGCTCAGTGTGGAATGCGCATGGGTTGCAACTGAGAGGTCACTGGTTCGATTCCTGGTCGGGGCACATGCCTGGGTAGCAGGCCAGGTCCTTGGGGATGTGTGAGAGGCAACTGATTGATGTTTCTCTTTCTCCCTCCCTTCCCCTCTCTCTTTAAGTAAATAAATAAAATCTAGCCCTGGCTGGTGTAGCTCAGTGGATTGAGCACGGGCCTGCGAACCAGACAATCGAGGTTCGATTCCCAGTCAGGGCACATGCCTGGGTTGCAGGCCGGTTCCCTGCAGGCCACTTCCCAGCAGGGGATGCACAAAAGGCAACCATACATTGATGTTTCTCTCCCTCTCTCCTTCCCTTCCCCTCTAAAGATAAATAAATAAAATTTAAAAAAATAAATAAATAAAATAAAATAAAATCTGCCCTGGCTGGCGTAGCTCAGTGGATTGAGCGCGGGCCTGCAAACCAAACAACCGCAGTTCGATTCCCAGTCAGGGCACACGCCTGGGTTGCAGGCCAGTTCCCAGAAGGGGAAGCAAGAGAGGCAACCATGCATTGATATTTCTCTCCCTCTCTCCTTCCCTTCCCCTCTAAAGATAAATAAAATCTTTTTAAAAGCTCAAAAATTAAAATCTTTCAGAATCTTTCCCCATGAACTGTAAAGGGAGTCTCCTCACCACACCACCGCTCCCTCACCCTTCCGTCTGCCAGGAGAAAAGCACCAGCAAGGCCTGCGAGTGAGGGGCAGGGTGTGGCTGGCGGCCTGGGATCATCCCAGGGCCTTGCGTCTCCCCCGCGTAGCTCTACCGAGGGCTGCAGGGGGTGGGGGCAGTGAAGGGATGTGTCCAAGACCATCACCACGGGGTCTGGGCCCTGCAGCCACCCTGGCTCCTTGGGGTCCGGAGGCTCCAGAGATGTTCCCGGACTACAGGGGGGACCAGTGGCACCTCTCAGCCCTTGACCCGCTCCCTGTAGGCCTCAGCCGGGGTTGGGGGAAGGCTATGGAGGAAGAGGAACTGAAAACTCGAGGGGGTTAAATGAGGCACGGTTTATTGCCAGAGATAGAGGACAAAGCTGGAAGGAGAGAGGACAGCTGGTCCTTGCTCCCTCTATGTTGGGACACAGGGCGTGGCTTCTCTTGTCCATCCTGGGCTTCCTGGCCCCTCCCTCAGGGGCCCTGATAAGTTGTCACCTGTCGCTTGTTTTTGGGAGAACTTATCTCACGTCCGGAGGGGCAGGAATCCCACGTCTGCTGCCGCTTGGGCAGGCGCTGTGGGCTGTGACTCTGCAGGACGCCGATGAGCACCAGGAAGGCCAACGGGGGAGGGAGGAATCCCGAGAGGTGGGCGAGCCCAGAGAGCAGGAGGAGCCGGAGGAAGCCGCCTGGTGGGGTGGGGGAGGGAGGTGCAGAGAGCCTGAGGGCGCACACCCCGCGGGTGGCCTTGGGGGGCTTGCAGGGGGTCTGAGCTGTGGGCTGGGCTCAGTACTGCAGGGCCAGGAGGGTTGCTGGAAGAGCGTGAAGGCCGGCTCTCTCTGGGAGCAGCAGCTGTCTTTGGGGCCCAGCCCATGGCCTCTCCTCACCACCAGATGAGAGCAGACCGATGTTCAAGTGCATAATGTAAGTTTAATTCCTTTTTTTCCCCTTTAGATCAGGCTGTGTTTGGAAAGGGGTTGTAGTGATGATGCAGAATGCCAGGTGAGGATGAGGAGCATGGTGTTTAGGAGGAAGGCTAGTGGCGGGGAGGGGGCAAGAATCCAGCCAGTGACCCAGGCACCAACCACACTTCTGTAGGAGCAGACAGCGGCAAATCACACACTCAGACCCTCCCTACTTCCACCCGGCCCAGCTGGAATTGTGCAGACACAAGTACACAAGGACAGGCCTCCAAACAGTGTGCAAAGGACCGGAAGTCACGCCCAGGCGCGCTGTGGCCCACACAGAGCCCACAGGGCTCCGCGCTGTGTGCATGCGCAGGCCGACACACAGGCTCTTACGCCGACTCAGTCCCATGGCCTGTACCTCTGGGGACCTGTGCAAGCACACGAGTGTGCCCAGGGTACATAGACAGCCCCCACCCCACCCTCCCTCCTCAGGCGCCAGGCACAAGCTGTCCCCCACCCCGGGCAGCAGTCGGGGCTGCAGCCTAGAGGTGGGTGGCGTTGTGGCGAGCAGAGGGTGTGGCTGGGGGCAACTCCTCTAGGAAGACCCTGGCAGGCAGCGGAGGTGAACGGGGCTCGGGCCTGGCACAGCACAGTGTGGCCTGGGTGATGAGGCGGTCCAGGGGCTTCAGGGAGTGCATCCAGAGGGGCAGGAACTCCCAGGTCTGCAGCCACTTGGGCAGGTGCCCCGGGCTGCGACTCTGCAGAACGCTGATGAGCACCACAAAAGCCAGCAGGGCCACGAAGGGTGCGCCCACGCCCACCATGGCCTGCCAGCCTGCCATGGAGATGCCGAACACCAGCGAGGGCAGCAGCAGAAAGCACAGCAGGAGGTACAGGACGGCAAACCAGCGGTACTTGGCGGTGTGTTTGCCCAGCGCCTTGGCCATGCGGATGGGCAGGCGCATGCAGGGCACTGGGTACCACAGCAAGATGCCCGAGATGTTGAAGAAGAAGTGGCAGAGGGCGATCTGTGGGAAAGAGGGCAAAGGGGCCGAGGTGGGCGTGGACGTGGGAATAGCTCAGAGGGGCCCGGCCTGGTCCGGGAGGCGGGAACGTCACTATAGGGTGGCCATGTCCCCAGTAAAAAGCTGTGGCACTTCTGGGTCAGCGGGCAAGTAACCACTGCCCTGAACTCTGCACGTCTCCCCGACAAACCTCCCTCCCAGGGACTCCCCCGCAGATCCTGCCTGAGCCCAGTGGCTGAAAGATTCTTCTTAGTTTCTGGCTTAGCAGCTCTGGCCACCTGATGGGGTCGTACCCCCGCCCTCGTCCCTGGCTTGTCATTACGCCTCTGCTCCCAGAACAGGCACCCCTCTGCCACGTCCCCCTAGTCATCCTTGATTCCCCCAGACTGAGCCAGGTCCCCTCCCACAGCATCCTCAGAGTGCACACGCCACTGGTCATGTACTGGTGTGACTGAGTCACATCTTTACTAAGAAAAAAGCAGCCACCAGCTCTACTTTGCCTGTAGGGTCGCCATGGAGCCTGGCATAGCAGGCGGCCCCTAGTCGGCAGTCAAAAGTCTGTTTCATGTCGTCCCACCCTGGGCCAGCGTCTCGCCCCGCCCCAGCCTGGCCCTCACTCTGGTGGGACTACTCCCCCAGACACACCTGGAAGGCGCTGGGCAGCTTCTCCCGGGGGCTGGCCAGAGCGGCCAGGATGGCCGTGGTGGTGGTGCCGATGTTGGAGCCCAGCGTGAGCGGGTAGGCACGCTCAATGCTGATCACACCCAGGCCTGGGGGGTGGAGGGCAAGGTGTGGTCTCCCAGCTCCCCCTTCAGCCCTTCGCCTGCCACCCAGCGCCCCTACCCCAAGTGTGGACACTCACCGATGAGTGGGGTGATGGCCGAGGTGAACACAGAACTGCTCTGGACAACGAAGGTCATGCCGGCGCCCACCACCATGGCTAGGTAGCCTGTGGCCCAGGTGAAGGGGGCAGGGAAGTCTGCAAGAAACCCATCCCAGCAGGTCAGTGCGGGGCGGGTCCTGGGACGGGGGACCCTCCTCGCGGAGGTCTTAGATGCCAGCTTCCAAGCGGGACCTTGTCAGTCCCCTGCTCAACTGGGGTGGCGTCTGCTGGCCCTCTGGTCCCGGACTCAAGGCCCGTCTCCGCTGGGTTCCGTCGAGCTTTTGTCCAGGTTGTTCCCTCTCTTAAACGGCCACCCTCAGGGCTCAGGCTGCCACCGTGCGATGGAGAGCCCTTCCTGCCCCGCCCTCCCGCCACCGCCCAGCTCCCTTCCCGCATTTGTCACGCAGCCTTGCCTGTGTGCCAGGAAGCATCCTGAAAAGCCCAGAATGAAGCTGACAGTGAAAATCAGATGGTGTCACTCCCCTGCCCCCAACCCCCCAAGTGTCTCCATTGTCCTTAGTAAAGCTCAGACCCCGAGCACAGCTTGCGGCCAGCCATCGCTCCTCCTCACCTCCCTGGCCCCCCCTTGCCTCGTTCCGCCCCCCTCACCAAGCCACACTCTGGCCACAGACCTGCCCCCGCCTCTTCCTGCCTTGAGCCTGTGCCTTGCTGGTCAGCTATGTCTAGACGCCTCCTCATTTAGGTCTCTGCTCAGATGTCCCCCCACCCTCGCACTGGGGCCGCTCATCACCTGCCAGGAGCAGCCTCCTCCATACTCCTTTGTGTTGCCTTTTAGCTTTCTCCTCGGCTGACTTCCCCCCACCCCTGCCCACACCGTTTGTTTTCCATGGTCATCTCCACCTCCAGGCTGAGAGAGCCCAAGGGTAGGACCCATCTCCTGTACCCCACTTCTCTCCCCCTCCCACTACACCGTGCTTGGCACAGGGTAGGGGCTTAATGATTGACTACCTGCTGAGTCAATCACAGAGGCCTCTGAGAATCTCCTCAGAGCCACCTGCTGACAGACCCCTGCCGCCAGCACCTCAGGGGCCTCAGAGGTCACCAGCTTCCATCTCTTCTTTGTTCACAGGAGGAAACTGAGGCTCAGAGGTGGCAGGGCTTTCCCCAGCTCGCAGAGCAGGGCAGCGGCAGGGGTCACTGTGGTCTGCAAGGGCCCATGCCGGGGCCGGCCGGCCCACCACTGCCTGGCGCTCACCGGTGTTGATGACCTTCTGAATGACCTTGGCCACCTGGCCCTTGAGCAGAGAGTTGAGCATCTTGACGAGCAGGATGAGGCAGGTACACAGGAGCACCAAGGAGCCAGCCAGCAGGATGAGCCCCACAGCCAGGTCAGGCAGCCTCGTGTCCACAAAGATGTGGTTGCCTGTTGGGGGCCGGGGATATCACGTTACTGAGAGCTGACACCCCCTGGCTCCCAGCCCCCTACCTTTGGAGCCTAAGGCCCTACCTCAGCCTCCTTGAACCTCAACAACAGGCCTGACCTGAGCCCGGGAGCTGGGCTGGTTGGCAGCGTCCTTCCTGGGGGCAGCCCTATCTCCGCTGGCTCTGCCCTGCTGGGCCAGGCCTCTCCTGCATGGCAGACACTCACATTTCTCCATGTTGGCATTTCCAAGGGTCCAGCTGCTGTTGGCCTCTGCCCTGGGCATGGGGGTGGTAGCCTAGATTAAGAGGAGAGTGACTTAGGAAATTCAGGAAAATGCAGCCTGGGGTGGGGCCAAGAGGGAGATTCAGGAGATTCAGGATTGACGGGCATGTGGGCATGGCGATGGGTCCCGGCTGTGTGTCCCTGGGTGCTGTGCTTGCCTGCTCTGAGCCTGTCGCCTCTGCTGAAGAGGCGAGGGCGAAAACACCTGCCGCGCAGGTCTGGCCATGGTCAGCCCTCTGCAATTCTGCCCTGCTAGTCCACTGAACTGCTCTCTGGGCTCACGGGGCCTGCTGACCTGGTGGCTTCCTGCCCTCGTTTCTGTCACCTCTCCTTGGCTCGAGGCTGTTGTCCACGGTTCTCTTCTCCTGAAATCTCTCCCATTTTTATTGCCGGTCCCTCTCGGTGTCCTCTCCACCCAGCACCCTGGCCCAGCCTCCCA